AAATGAGTCATAGATCTGAACATAAAAGCTTAAACCATAATGCTGTAGAGGGGGGAAAAAACAGAAAAAAAAAGGACCAAAAAACATAGAAGTGTATTATCTGACTTAGAGGTACAAAAGATTTTTAGGAGACAGAAAGTCATAATTATAAAAGAACAAAAACCTAATAAATTGGACTTCATAAAAAATTAAACTTCTATTCATTAAAAGACATATTTAAGAAAATGAATTGGAAAGCCACACTAGGGAAAACATATATTTGACAAAGTACTGGTATCCCGGATATATATAAAGAACTTTTACAACTTAATAATGAAAGGACAAATAACCTTATAAAAATAGGCAAAAAATTTAAATATCCACTTTACCAAAGGAGTTATATAGTTAACAAATAAGCAAATGGTCATTAGGGAAACAGACATTACAACCACAATGAGATACTACCAACCACCTAGTAGAATGGCTAAAATAAGACAAAACCAATTATTGGTTAGGATGTAGAACAATTAGAATTCATATACATTGCTGGTGTTTTTTAAAGCAGGTACTTCGAAAATCAATTTTGGTGGTTTCTTACAAAGTTAGACATGTATTCACTGTGTGACCCAGCCGTCCCACTTCTAGGTATGTACCTGAGAACTTCAGACACTTCAGAACTTCAGTTTCTGTGCAAATATGGGTATTAAATGTGCGTAGTAGCTTTACTTATAATAGCCTGACACTGGAAGCAAGCCAACTAGTTCATCAACTAGTGCCTGGATAAACAAATTGTGGTATACCCATACAATGAATAATACTTAGCAAATTCTAAATGATAGAAAAGCTCAGGAAACTTAAAAAGAAAATCCCCCACTGTTCATATTTATATGAGAACAGACATGATAAAAAAAATTAGCTGAGATCAGGTACTTCACGACCACATTCAAAGAAACATAAATAATAAAAACAAACCAGAAACTCCCATCTTGCAGAATACAGCATAGCATTACTGTAGTTTTAGCTCTACCTGATACCCCAAGCAAGGGCACAGATGGGTATCAGAGTTGTATTCAGGGGGCGTGAATGGTTTTAAGAACTAAGCAAAATAATAAAAGTTATCTTTCAAATCTTTAGCTTTTTTCTTAACTTCATTTTTGTTTGTAATTATGCCAGACATTCTGCTAGGCAGTTTTACATGTTATTTTTCTTAATCCTAACCTTAGCCCCGTGAAGTAGGTTGTACTGTCACCATTTTGGAGCTGGGGAAATAGGCATGTATAATGCTTGCTTAAGTTCATGTAGCTTATAAATGAAAGAGCTTGAACATAGGTCCTCTAACTTCAAGTGCACTTGTTTTGCTCCTCAGTCCCTGTCCCCATTTGGCATCAGTTATTCTCATAGAGTCCTTCGGCTATCCTGGGACACTGGGTAGGACTTTCTGATTTCTTTAATAAATATTTTTATGTACTAATTAAGCATTGCCTTCTTCTGACCTCAAGCAAAGTTTCTTTTCACTGAATGAGAAAGAGCTCAAATATATAGCAAGTGGAAGTGAATTTCTCAGGTTATTAAAATAAATCTAAATCCAATATGAAGACTCATTAATATAATTTTTGTTTTTTTGAGACAGTTTTACTCTGTTGCCCTGGGTGAAGTGCAGTGGTGTCATTGTAGCTCACTGCAACTTCAAACTCCTGGGATCAAATGATCCTCCTGCCTCAGCCTTTAGCAAATAGTACATTATATGTAATTACGTACTGGATTATAAGATATACACTCCCAAAACTACAGAAATTTAAAGAAATAGATCAAAAATTAAACTACATATTATATTCATTTTTTTTTTTTTCCTGAGACAGAGTCTCGCTTTTGTTGCCTGGGCTAGAGTGAGTGCCATGGCGTCAGCCTAGCTCACAGCAACCTCAGACTCGTGGGCTCAAGCAATCCTTCTGCCTCAGCCTCCCGAGTAGCTGGGACTACAGGCATGCGCCACATGCCCAGCTAATTTTTTCAATATATTTTTAGTTGTCCGATTAATTTCTTTCTATTTTTAGTAGAGACGGGGTCTCGCTCTT